TATTTAAACTTTGAGGTTAGTTTAAAATTAAGTGGAAATGAATAGATATTTTGAAGCATATTTACAAGCATAATAGTAAGTTTGATTGATAATATCATAAACAAAATAATTCTAAGATAATTAAACATATCTTTTATGCTGAAATCTCTGAAATAGGGAGAAGATAAAATACAGCAAATTGTACTTTTAAAGATATGAAATGGAAAAATCAATAATTTGAATTATTTAAAAAATCTATCAAATTCTACCTGGAATTATAATTATTACTAATGCACGTCTGTCCTTTTTCTATTCCCACTATACTTTTGTAATTTGACATATTAGTTAGTAGTTATTGACTAATTTATATTGGATATGGAAATTGTTTCAAAGAGTAGCTAAATGAACATGGATTTATCATTATATTTTGTAATTAAATTCATCAAAAATTGACCTTAAAGTTTGTGTTTTAAAGAAATCTTTCTCATGCTACAAAATCATTTTTAGCTTTTATCTTCTTGGGTTTTATAATTGTGCTTGTCACACCTAGACATTTAATCCATTTGGAAATACATATTTTCATATTTGATGTGAAGTAGTAATAATGATAAAAATCCTATTTTTTTCATAAAGTGAGTAAAATTTTCCAAAATAATTTGAGCATTCTATTACTTTCACATTTACTTGTGGTGATACCTCTATATAAATCCTACTGCTTTCTGCTTTCTGGACTCTCTTTGGTCTATGTCAGTTATTTATTACTTTACTTTCAATGGTTTTTGATAGTTTAATATCCATTAGAGTCCATTTTAATTGATGTAACACTCTGTGGAAATCTTAGAATCCCTTATATAATTTAATATTTTGATTTGTACTGATTTAAATTTATAGATTATTTTGGAGAGAATAGCATCTTTACAATTTTGGTGCTTTTTTGTCATTCTGTGAGCATGGTATATGTCTGCATTTATGTAGGTATTCTTTTATGTGCTCTCATAGAATTTAAAAGTCATGTATAAAGTTCTAATTTATTTTTTTTAGGTGAATCCATATATATATTTTTTGCTGTTGTGTTATAATTGTTTTTTATATTGAGAAATACTATCAGTTTATAACTTTTTCTTAGATCCAAGAACTTTTCCTCTTTCATTAAGTTATACCAGTTTGTTTCAATTTGTAACATAGACTTTTTTGAGACCTTACCCATGATAGCTTTAAATCATATTTTATGTTCATAAATACCATAGTAGCCCCCTTGTTCCTCATTGGTATGAGGCACACACAAAATTTCTTGAGAGCAAAACTTCAATACTGAGCCTGTTGAACTTCTAAGAAAATGTATTCTTGTTCAGGATAGAAATTCTTGCTGTAGTCGTAGATGCAGAATTTGCAAGGTGGCCAATGGTACTAGCCTCCATATCTTATCACTGCCGTGCAGACACGTGCTATAACAGCGAGGAAATCAGAGAATTTTCCTCATCCCAGCCTCACCTCAGTGGAGGTGCAACATCCTTCCCTTTGTGGAATCACTCATATATTGAGGCACCTGGTGAGGTCCTCCAAGAGTCCAGACTTCACATTCTAGAGAACAATGGCCAAGATCAGACAAATAATGGTTTCTCTTTCTTCAGTGGCATTTGTCAAAAATTGGGTGTATAATCTAAATAGCACCATTGAGATACTCTCAAATACTGATATTTAAGAATAAGGAAGTTGGAGGGGGGGTGTACCTCTAAAACTTCCGAACTCTGAGAATGTGACCTACGGGCCTTTGGTGGTCTTATCTGCTTGAGTGGGGATCACAAAAGGAGCCCTGCATGTAGAATGTAAAGACCAGTCAATAGGAAAGACAGGCTTGAATTCAGTTTTCTGTTTCAAATTTGCACTGTATTTTCTTTTATTAGAACTGGTTTCAGGTGTATTAATATCATTTTCAATCAAACGTACTCTAATGCTCAATCTAACACTTGGAAGTAGGATGTCACATCTGACAGGCTTTGAAGTATGAAATTTTTAGTGTCGTTAGATAGATGTGAATATTCCTAAACTAACAAGTGGGAATTTGGCAATCTGTATTTGATAGTAAATCCTTATTTGTTAGTTAAATAATTACTGTGTGTGTGTGTGTGTGTGTGTGTGTATTGGGGTAGTGCATATATAATTTGCCTCCAGGATTTGGAAGTTTAGAGAACTAAGAAGAAAAATGTCAGACTATAGAGTTGTGTTGGCTTATTCTTGTGGCTTTTAGTACTGTCTTGAAAGAAGTAGAGACAGCTTTGCTGAGAATCACAGATCTTGGAGGGTATTGTAGACCTTTGTGAAAACTTAAGCTTTTGCTTTGAGTGAAATGGAAAGCCACCGAATGGTTTTCAACAATGGAATGAGATGGTCTCAGTAGTGATTTTAAAGGCTCACTTTGGCTTTTGTGTAGAGGACAGACAGCAGAAATGCAAGGACCAGTTAGGAATCTGCTCTAGCCGAGAAATGGTGGTGATACAGGTTAGAGTTTCAGGTACATGGATCAGTCTAACATACTGACCATGAAAGATGATCACCCATTCAGCTCTCCAATACTGAGTATCCAGAGAAACTAAGTAACAGATAACCTAACATAACCATAAACACTGACCCCTTCTAATTTCCTGGGGATCCTTGCCTGCTTCTTTTTTTTTTTAGCTTCTCAATGGGATCAGTGTTAGGCTGAGATATTTCAGAGCATTTGTTCCCAGAGGGCAGAACACTTAGCTTTATTTCTCCAAGATTTCATGATTTCCTGTTGTCATTCTAGACAATAAAGGTGCAAGTGTCCATTGAAGCCTCTATATTAAAGCTATGTATTATAAATATGGGCAAAAGAGATGACAGGTATGTTGTGATTGTTTATAAATGTGTTACTTAAATCTAGAAAGTTTTGGATGTGTATTATTAAATAATTATGCTATTATTTAAACAATTTAAATTTATTTATGTGTTATATGCACTTTTGAAGCAAACTATTAAAGGAAACTATTTCTATCTATGTAGAACTATATATTGCTCTCTCTTGAGAATTGATCTCAAACTAATTAAGTGGTATATCTAAGAAGAGTAAGAGTGCTAATTATGCTTACAATGAAAAATGATACATAAATAAAATGTGTCCATGTCACATAATATTAAGGACACTAAGAAGGATCTATACTGCTTATTACAGAGAACCTTGTTAATTTGAACAAGCATATTAATTTTTACCTGTAATATAGTGAGGAAGACATTTTAATATGGATTTGTACACAGATATTTAAAGAACACATAACTCAATAATAAGAACAGAATCTAATAAAAATGAGGAAAAGATTCTATTGTTATTTTTGAGTTTTGAAAACATTTTCTTCTAGATAGATGCAGAAAGGAAGTTAGTACTATATTCTCATATTTAAGAATTATTGCTGGATTTATGTATTTTAATGAAGAAAATCATTAACTGATTAAAAACCAATTGGCCAAGATATTTTCCCATGTTACTGTCTAATTAATAATTTATATTTTCCAAGGGTAAGCAGTTTTGAAAGCAAAGTTATTTTCTCCTGTATACTACTATTTAGCAAACCACATGCTAAATGCTGCAAACACTACATTCCATCAAAAATCCACTGGGCTTTTTTTCTCAGAAATTGACAAGCTGATTCTGAAATTGAAAGAAAAACGTGAAGGACTTAGAAAAGCCAAAACCATTTAGAAAAAGAAGAGCAACGTGAGGGACTTAAACTGCCTGATTTCAAGATTTACCATAAAGCTACAATGGTTTGGATACTGTGGTATTACTTAAGTATAGACATACACATTGGTGGCACATGATAAAGTTTAGAAATAAACCTACATGGATATGGTCAATTCAGTATTGATAAAGGTGCCAAAGTGGGGAAATAAAGAGTTTAAAAAATGGTGATGGGAAAGTTGAATATCCACATGGGAAAAAATTGAATGTAAAATCTTTATTACCATTTACAATACTTAACTCAAAACTGATCATTGACCTAAACTGAACAAGAACTATAAAACTTCTAGAAGAAAATGAAGGAAAAAAAAATCTTTTGACTTTGGGTTAGGCAAAGATTTCTTAGACTGGACACAAAAATCATGAACCGTAATATCCAAAAGCTGATAAACGGGACTTCATCAAAATTAAAATTATGATGTTCTTCAATAGTCACTGTAGGAAACTAAAAAGCCATATAGAATGGAAGGAAATACATTCCAAACACATATCTGATAAATATGGATTTGTACACAGATATTTAAAGAACACTTATAACTCAATAATAAGAACAGAATCTAATAAAAATGAGGAAAAGATTGTATTGTTATTCTTGAGTTTTGAAAACATTTTCTTCCATTCCAGTTTGCCTTATGCCTTAGGAGCCACCGTGTACTGAGTTGCTCCAAGACTTGCCAGGCCCCCAAAAATGAAACATTTATTACCTCACAGTGTCTGCAGGCCAAGAATCTGGGAAGAGTTAGCTTGGTTTCTCTACCACCGAATCTCTCATAAGACTGCAATCAAAGCGTAGATGAAGGCTGCAGCCATCTTAAGGCTCAAGCAGTGGATTAGCTTCCAGATTCACTTGTGTGGCTGCCAAAATCCATCCTGTGGACCCCTGTCTTTTCCCTGGTTCACCTCAGTTTTAATGTTAACCTGGGAATCAGGTTAAATGGATAATCAAGGAAATAGTCTCATCAAGAAATCCTAAATCATATACACTTTCCAAAAACATGTTTTGGTACAGATTTTTGGGTAGGGCCAACTCCAAAGGATACTAAAGTCTATACCATCATATGAGGGGTATGGTACTGGGGAAAGAGTTGTATTCCATGCTGATAATGGAGTTTATGAGCTGATTGTAAGGGTGGTGTTTAAAATATTTTGATTAAATTGTCAACTTTGGGCAAGTTGGCAAAGTAGCTTTCAAGAAAAAAGTTGATCTCATCACTTCCCCCAAAGGACACATACCTATTAATTCAAGATTCAAGCCCAGACAATGCAATTTTTAAAATTTTTCCTTTTATTTTGACCTACCTTCTGCTCTCGTCTTAGCTGTGTAAGACTTCACTATATAAAATGTTCATATTGGGTAGTTATCAGCCAAAATACAAAAGGGCTGGAATCTATTAAATAATAGATTGAAATAGTTATCTTGCATTTCCATAAATGGTTTCTGTTTTGTTTTCTTTGGGCTCCCAACTAATCTAGATCTTTTTCCATTATCTGCTCTCCTTCAGTTGAATTTCATGGGTTTATCTGTGAATGATTTCTCATATACTATCAATATTACCAGGCTTAGGATGAGACTGGAACCTTTTTAGTATTCTTTTCTGCCTAAACAAGGTACATTCTTGGATAGAATTTCTGAAGACCTCTGCTCCTTCCATAGATATCTAGTCACTAAAGTCCTGTTTCTCACCTTACACTGTAGCTTTTTCTCACCAAAAGAGGCAGTTTCAGTCACGACTGTTGGGTAGGTGGCCAAGTCAAGCTCAGTAACAGCTCTTTTAACTTTTATCTCCTTATGTTCTAGTATATGATTTGAGGTTGTTTCAATACTTTCAATACTCACACTGGATGTGGGCTGACAGCGTTTGCCTGATGACAAAAATTTTTTCAGGCCGTTTATGCTTAGTGTTGGCTTGGGAGAAACAGCTTTGCTTTCTGCTGGCTTCATTCATGTGATCTTCAAATTATTCTAAGTATTTCTTTTGTATAACTTCTCTTAAAGCAACTTCATCTTCATCAGACATCAATCCCTCTTCTATGTTACTTTCCAAATCTTGCTCAATATCATGAGCTACTAGCCAAATGATAAGATCATTTTTGCTCTGAACATTTTTTAGAAGCTCCACCTTGGTGATATCCGGCTTTCTTATATTCTGAAATGAATTTCTGCTGACAACCTGTAATTGAAAGTATAATGAATACTAAAACAAATGTCTCTGTCATTTTTCCTGTGGTTTTATTGAAATATACCTATTAGTATAATTTCTAGTTTCAATTTAAGTAGTATTATCTTCAAGTGCCACTTATTTGTATATTAGCAATATTTTGAAAAGAAACAAATGAAAAATATAAGAACATTTGTTGCCATCTAGCATTTCCTTTATATTCAGAGATAATATTAATCTACCATTAGCTTACTCTGAAATGTAGAGGAAGGTCTAACATAGGTTTTGTTTGTTTGAACTTTGTATTTGCTGCATCATAATATGCTTTTTTTTTTCATTTACTTTGATGTGATAGAAGTAGACATCTGTTTTTCTAAAATTCTACATAGGGAATCATAGATAAACTTAAATGCATACATTTTTAGCAAAACTGAGAGGCATTATCTGATCCTGACTTTTAAAAATGATGAATAATCAAAATTGTAAAGGTCTTTGGCTCTTACATCCCTGTTTTTACACTTTGATCCTTCAGACATATTTTCTAAAGAATCTTCAAAACATAAATATTAATCTTTTTCTCACCTCCCTAGTGAAATCTCACTTTCCATTTTCAATGTCTAAAGGCAGATCAAAGACAATTATAATTAAATAATAGCATTTCCCTCACTTTCATAGTTTTTATGATGACACAGAATCTCCAAATTGATTTGAGTTAATAAACATAGACCTTAGTATCTTCTTGTACCACTATAAGCCAGGTTTTCAGATAATGGTGCCCTAAAGGGATATATATATATAAACAGGCTCCTTAAGAAATCAAAACACAATCAATTTTGATTTTCTGTGTTAGTGGAGGGAACTAAGTTTAGAAAATCCAAAACCATTCCATATGGCTTTGGAATTTGTTCCTACATATGTTTTCAATATGTATATTCCATTTTGTCCCTTCTCTGTCCCTATGCTTGAGAAAGACAGCAGTGGTACCCAGATTAGTACGAATCATATGTCTTAATATAATTACCTCTGCTACTTTTTTATTTTTAGGATGGCTTTTCTTTGGCTTAAGAGGACATGGATAACTGTTCTGGTTTAAATATTCTTCTCCTGCTTTCTGTAGTCTATAAATGGCTTAAGAGAGCTGGCAACTAAGAGTAAAATTTGTGACAATTCTACAGATAACTAAAAACTAATTTTAAGTAATGTTATTCTGTTCAGAAATTTTATTCCCAAGGGATTACTTATATATGAATGAAGACTACCAAGTAATATGCTAATGTAATGGTAAGAACCCACATGGCAGGGGTAACTTTAGAGCTAGAAAGCACTGTCTTCTGGTACAAAATATTTAGGGCAAATGGATTAAATTAGTGCCTCAGCCCATGATAATCTCCATATTTGGGTATGAAAACATAAAGCAGTTATTGAAATATTTCTCATCCCTAAGATTTAGTTCAGTGAGTAATAAGATAGTGCTGGAGAAAATTCACTTCAAATTTACATTCCAGGAAGAATGGTTCTATAAAACTTTGGTTATTGTGCAGGCCATAGATTATATCCCTAAACACATTCAGTCCTCTTAGGAGTAAATGCCATCAGTACAAGGGGATTTGTTAAAAATCATAGGTATAGTGGATCAGCACAGTTCTATGGGACAATCCCTTTGCCCTCAGTGGTATAGTTTTCTTGTAACAAGAACATCATTTCAGCATTTTAAAGCCCAATTAATTTAATGTATTGGTGCTCAAGTATAGAGCTACAGGGCCATAGGTCTATAGCAAGAGGAAATGGGTTCATAAAAATGGCAGTACATGGGCTGCTGTGTCTAGAACAAGGATAGAAGAGGAAAGAAACTGGGCACTTCTTGAGAATATAGAAAAATGGAGGAAGGCTAATTAAAGTAAGATGATAAAGAAGTATAATCTAAGCGTCTGTAGTCTAATGTTTGTTGATCAATGTTGCTAAAAGTAAAAAGTACTGTGTAGAGCCATAAGTTTGATAAATTAAAACTATTTTAGCTAAGTTTTGAAAGTTCATATATCCTGATATTCTATTAACTGGCCCTTTAAGATACCATTAGATTACCCACAATAAAAAACTAAAAGAACTATATGAGATTGCTTCTCTGAATTTTCAAATGAAGATCATAATTTTAGTCAGCCTGGTTTTACTATTAAGTGTATGTCCCTGTGTTCCCATAATTTTTTCTTTTAAAAGCCAGTTTAAACTGATTGTCTTAGGAAAACTAGCCTGAGACCTTGAGAATGAGCCACAGAGCTGATGTGGTAAGTCCCAGTAAGTTACACGACACTTTATGGATGAACAAGTGTAACCAATTCTCACAGAGTGCTGGACAATAAGAAAAAATGCATTTCCATATACCTGTTTGAGGAAGGGAATCACAGAACAATTATGCTTCACTATTCACTTGTATTTTGAATTTTAATTTTAATGTTTTGTTACTGCTTTTGCACTTACCTCTCGGGGTTTTATATCCAATCGTCCTTAGTCAATGAATATGTCTTCCTTTCTTTATCTTTTCTAAATTAGATGTGTCTGATGAAGAGACACTTCTCCTATTTATTGATGCACTTCTTAGCTCTTTTATGCTATGTCCAATTTTCTTAAATAGTCCATCTCAAGTTTTTCAAGAGGTTGAGCTTTTATAGAAATGACTGCTAAGTGTTCTAATATAATGTCAGGATCTATTTTGATTGGCTTCTTCATAATATGTGGGACTATTTTAATTGGAAACACATCTTCAATTGAATCTTGATCTCTCCTTTTTCTAAGTCAGGGATCATTTTGTCAGCATACTTCTGTGCCTTTTGAACAATTCTATTAATGGCTTGATCTCCAAAGACATCAGCACTTGAATTCTTTAACCTAACTGTATCTAATTGAAGATTTGAAACTCCATTAATAATTAAACTAGCCACTTTCTTAAGGAAGGCTCTGTTTGTACCTTTTATGTCATAATAAAGATCTTTATGCGTTTCAGATTGTTGCAGTATATCACTATAAATAGAATCAATAACCTGAGAAATCATTTCTATGCTTTCTGGATTTAAAAAGTGTTCTTCAGGATCAGCAGAAACTAGATCAATATTATTTTTGGAAATTTCAGCTGCTACAGATTTTGTCAGTTGAGATGCAATTTTATTTAACTCAGGCTTTGACAAGTTTTTTGCATCTTTGCTTGAGACACTTGGCAATGTTACAATTTTAGCCAAGAACAAAGCCAAAGCTTCTTCTAAAGTTGTAGTATCTAACATAGGACCTTTTTTGGATGAAGACCTTTCCTGGGACTTAAACTTATCAACAGTTTTGACCACTTTTTCCATAATTTTGACAGCTTCCCAAACTAATTCTGAATTTGATACTTCTTCCTCAAATTTAGGTTGAAATTCAGAAATGGAAATTTCCTTCACCATTAAAAAACCTATTGTATCAGAAAGGGCATTGCTCTTATCCATTAAATCTTTCAATATAGAGGTGTGTGAGCCAGAGTGCTTTAAAACACTAGTATAAACAGAGTTAACTATTTTTTCAATAGTTTCATTGTCAGCTGAAGGTATAGTAGGCAATTCCTTGGCTGGTAATACAAGTTTAATTTTACTTTTGGAGATAAATTCTTGTATTGAATTTAATATTTTTGAGGTTATCTTTTGCATTTCAGTTTCTTCAGATTTGGTTCTTTCCTTATCTACTGTTGGAAACATAGATAAAAGCTTCAATAAAAATTTTACAGCAGTTTCTTCTATTACATCATAAGGCAGTATATGAGTAAGTGGTTGAGGCTGGGGAGCATCAGCAGTTGTGATAACTTCTTTCAGAATATTTTCAACAATGTAGTTAACTTCTGAACACTGATATGGAGTTAGCTCTCCAGAAAAATAGTTCTGCAGCTGATTGCCAGGCACTTCTTTTAGAATCAACTCAACTATGGTTTTGGAAAGGATTCTGCATCCACTGGATACACAATTTTGTATAATCTCTTGTGACCCATACTGTGACAAAAGATTTTTATAAATAGAATGAACCACTAATTGAATAATTTCATCATCATTGGGATGTAAGGAGTCCACATACTGTATAATCATATCATCATATTTGGAGATCTCTGTTGTAACTGTACTTAATAACTTCATTTGAAGGAAATCCAGTTTTGTGAACTGTTTGCCCTCAGATGTTTCTGCTTTGGTGTTAGACACAGTTGAGAAAATTTTAGATAAGAGAGCAGAAATCACATTCTCTAAAAATTCATGAGGCAGCATGACGGTATATGGTGACAATGCCTGACATTCTTTGCTGGCTCTTTTAACCACTTTTTGGATCTTTTTAACAAGATCCTTAGATTCGAGAGGCAAACATGCTGAAGCTGGAATCTCATCACAAAATCCAAAATTAAGCTGCTCTTGAAAAATTTCATTTATCACTGCACTAGTTAGTTGTCTTGCTATAGTTTCCTCATTAGTTTTTATACTCTTACAAATGGAGTCTTGAGACCTACCTTCCTTCAAAATATTGCATACAGAGAAGTGAACATCATTGTTGACCAATGTTTGATTGATTGCTGGTATGTTATTTAGGAAAGGTATCTTGTTTAAAGAGGAGGTTTTAGTCATTTTGTGCATATGTGGAATTTTATCCACAGTTTTCTTAATGCTAGATGATGCCTTTTCTGCAGTTGACTCTTTATGCCCGGAAAGTACTTTAGGAACTGATGATGACATGTTTTCTACTGGTGGAAGAAACTCATTTTCCGGATCTGTTCTAAATACCTTAATTTGAGCATCGGAAAACTCCTTTAACAGTGAATCAATAGGTTTCATAGCTGTGTCATACAGTTCTGTTTGATTTTCATCATCACTTACATTTTGACATCTTTCACACATTTGTGTTTCTGGTGATGAAGAAAAGATCAATTTGTTAATCATTTCAGTGATAATATCTTCTGAAAACTTAGCAGGAAAAATTCCAGGTTTATGTTTTGGTTGGTACTGATGACTATTTGTTTTACTAGGTTCAATTTTAATCTCCTTTACTTTCACTTTCTCTTTTTCTCTCTCTTTCTCTCCCTCTTTCTCCATGGCAGGGAGATTTTTGCTAATTGAGAGGGATAAATCCTTTGTTGAAACAGACTGTGCAGTATCCTTGCCAACCTCCTGAATTACCTGCAGTGACCTATCACTTGGGGGACTTTGGAGATGTGAATCATCTGTGGATCCTTGAGAATGATATATTTCTAAGATAGCATCATAAGTATTTTCAATGATATTTTGAACATGTTCATAATCTGAATATTGTTCCTCACTTATAGCTATTTGAGATGGAGAGGCTTGTCTTTCCATTCCATTTGATTTTGGGGTAGCTGCTTTCAAAATTTTCTCTGCTGTGGTCTCTGTATTTCTCACTTTAGATGCCAAAGAAGATAAATGAAACGGCTCATCTTTTTTTAATGAATTTTCTCTTACGCTCTTAATCTTTTCACTGTCTGTTTCAAAATCTGCTCTAGGTATTTCCTTCTCATGTTGTATATCATGAGTAGCTGCTGGAAACTGTGTCTGTGCCTCATTACGTTGCCTTTCCTCATATTCTGGAGCTGATGTACTTTTCTTCTCAGTGTCATCATTTTTATGTGTTAGTCTTAAGTCTGGGTCCTTTGTAGCTTTACTTTCCATACTACTAGTTGAAGTAACTTTTGATATATTCTCATTATATTTTCTAATTGAAATTCTCATTTTATTTTCCTTCTCCTTTTTATCTGCCACACCTGCAGCTGACTCTGATAACAAGTTAACTGCATTATTTTTCATGATTCCAGTTATAGCGGTAACTATTGGATCTTGGATGTTGCCTTTTTTCATCGATGTCTCCTCACCTTTGAAACATTTCTTTCTGTTCACTGCACTTCTATCTATTTCCAGTGTGTTCAGTGAATTTTTCTGGTCTGAGTTTAGAGAAGTATGTTTATATGATTGTGTTGGTGAAGCAAGTTGGTTCCCTTTTAAGCATCTGTTTACTGGTGTAGAAATTTTCTCTGTTACGCATTGAATCCTCTGGGTGATGTTATCTGGATTTAGAAATGAAAAGAAGGTAGAAGACCCATCTCCTGAAAAAAGTGGTTGAATTTTGAATGCAGAGATTGCCTTCTGGGCTAAAGCAGTAATCATTTCTATAGCAATGTTATTTTTATCATCCTTCTGAACATCATTAGATCCATACTTTGCTATAAATTAATCATAGAAGGGAGAGAAATAAAGAATCACCAGTTTTTACAATAGCTCCATAAGTGAGCTAAGTTAGATGGTAAGATAGTAAAGAAGCTAACCTTGAACCTTTGGTAACAATGAACCTAAACCCTGCAAATGGCAATAAGTACATATCTATCAATAATCACGCTAAATGTAAATGGACTGAATGCACCAATCAAAAGACACACAGTAATAGTATGGATAAAAAAGCAAGACCCATCTATATGCTGCTTACAAGAGACTCACCTCAAACCCAAAGACATGCACAGACTAAAAGTAAAGGGATGGATAAACATACTTCATACAAACAACAGGGAGAAAAAAGCAGGTGTTGCAGTACTAGTATCAGACAAAATAGACTTCAAAACAAAGAAAGTAACAAGAGATAAAGAAGGACATTACAAAATGATAAACGGATCAGTCCAAGAAGAGGATATAACCATTACAAAAATATATGCACCCAATAGAGGAGCACCAGCATACGTGAAACAAATACTAACAGAACTAAAGGAGGAAATAGAATGCAATGCATTCATTTTGAGAAACTTCAACACACCACTCACTCCAAAGGATAGATCCACCAGACAGAAAATAAGTAAGGACACAGAGGCGCTGAACAGTGCACTAGAACAGATGGACCTAATAGACCTCTATAGAACTCTACACCCAAAAGCAACAGGATACACATTCTTCTCAAGTGCACATGGAACATTTTTCAGAATAGACCACATACTAGGCCACAAAAAGAGCCTCAGTAAATTCAAAAAGAATGAAATTCTACCAACCAACTTTTCAGACCACAAAGCTATAAAACCAGAAATAAATTGTACAAAGAGAGCAAAAAGGCTCATAAACACATGGAGGCTTAACAACATGCTCCTAAATAATCAATGGATCAATGATCAAATTAAAATAGAGATCAAGCAATATATGGAAACAAAATGACAACAACACAAAGCCCCAACTTCTGTGGGACACAGCAAAAGCAGTCTTAAGAGGAAAGTATATAGCAATCCAGGCATATTTAAAGAAGGAAGAATAACCCCAAATGAATAGTCTAACATCAAATTATCAAAATTGGATAAAGAAAAACAAATGAGGCCTAAAGTGAGCAGAAGGAGGGAAATAATAAAGATCAGAGAAGAAATAAATAAAATTGAGAAGAATAAAACAATAGAAAAAAATCAATGAAGCCAAGTGCTGGTTCTTTGAGAAAATAAACAAAATAGATAAACCTCTAGCCAGACTTACTAAGAGAAAAAGCGAATCAATACACATCAACAGAATCAGAAATGAGAAAAGAAAAATCACGATGGATCCCACAGAAATACAAAGACTTACTAAACAATACTATGAAAACCTATACGGCAACAAGCTAGGAAACCTAAAAGAAATGGACATCTTCCTAGAAACATACAACCTTCCAAGACTGACCAAGGAAGAAACAGAAAATCTAAACAGACCAATTACCAGCAATGAAATTGAAGCAGTAATCAAAATCTACCCAAGAACAAAACCCCCGGGGCCAGATGGATTTACCTCAGAATTTTACCAGACATACAGAGAAGACATAATACCCATTCTCCTTAAAGTTTCCCAAAAAATAGAAGAGGATGGAATACTCCCAAACTCATTCCATGAAGCCAACATCACCCTAATGCCAAAAGCAGGCAAAGACACCACCAAAAAGGAAAATTACAGACCAATATCCCTGACGAACGTAGATGCAAAAATACTCAACAAAATACTAGCAAACTGAATTCAAAAATACATCAAAAGGATCATACACCATGACCAAGTGGGATTCATCCCAGGGATGCAAGGATGGTACAACATTCGAAAATCCATCAACATCATCCACCACATCAACAAAAAGAAAGACAAAAACCACATGATCATCTCCATAGATGCAGAAAAAGCATTTGACAAAATTCAACGTCCATTCATGATAAAAACTCTCAACAAAATGGGTATAGAGGGCAAGTACCTCAACATAATAAAGGCCATATATGATAAACCCACAGCCAACATCATACTGAAGAGCAAGAAGCTGAAAGCTTATCCTCTAAGATCAGGTACAAGACAGGGATGCCCACTATCCCCACTGTTACTCAACATAGTACTGGAGGTCCTAGCCACGGCAATTAGACAAAACAAAGAAAAACAGGGAATACAGATTGGTAAAGAAGAAGTTAAACTGTCACTATTTGCAGATGATACGATGTTGTACATAAAAAACCCTAAAGACTCCACACCAAAACTACTAGAACTAATATCCAAATTCAGCAAAGTTGCAGGATACAAAATTAACACACAGAAATCTGTGGCTTTCATATACACTAACAATGAACTAATAGAAAGGGAAATCAGGAAAACAATTCCATTCACAATAGCATCAAAAAGAATAAAATATCTAGGAATAAATCTAACCAAGGAAGTGAAACACCTATATGCTGAAAACTAAAAGACACTCTTAAGAGGAATTAAAGAGGACACTAACAAATGGAAACTCATCCCATGCACTTGGCTAGGAAGAATTAATATCGTCAAAATGGCCATCCTGACCAAAGCAATATACAGATTCGCTGCAATCCTTATCAAATTACCAACAGCATTCTTCAACGAAGTAGAACAAATAGTTCTAAAATTCATATGGAACCAACAAAGACCCTGAATAGCCAAAGCAATCCTGAGAAGGAAGAATAAAGCAGGGGGGATCTCACTTTCTAACTTCAAGTTCTACTACAAAGCCACAGTAATCAAGACAATTTGTTACCTGCACAAGAACAGAACTATAGACCAATGGAACAGACTAGGGAGCCTGATATAAACCCAACCATATATGGCCAATTAATATATGACAAAGGAGCCATGGACATACAATGGGGAAATAACAGCCTCTTCAACAGCTGGTGTTGGCAGAACTGGACAGCTACATGCAAGAGAATGAAACTGGATTATTGTTTAACCCCATACACAAAAGTAAACTCTAAATTGATTAAAGACTTGAATGTAAGTCATGAAACCATAAAACTCTGAGAAGACAATATAGGCAAACATCTCCTGAATATAAGCAGGAGGAAATTCTTCCTGAACCCATCTCCTCAAGAAAAGGAAATAAAAGCAAAAATGAACTCATAGGACTACATCAAACTAAACAGTTTTTGTACGGCAAAGGACATCATCAACAGAACAAAAAGGCATCCTACAGTGTGGGAGAATATATTTGTAAATGACATATCCAACAAGGGGTTAACATCCAAAATACATAAAGAACTCACACACATCAACACCCAAAAAGCAAATAACCTGATTTACAAATGGGCAGAGGATATGAAGAGATGGCCCTCCAAAGAAATTCAGATGGCCAACAGACACATGAAAAGATGCTCCACATCGCTAATCATCAGAGAAATGCAAATTAAAACCACAATGAGATATCACCTCACACCAGTAAGGATGGCCAGCATCGAAAAGACTAAAAACAACAAATGTTGGCAAGGATGCAGAGGAAGGGGAACCCTCCTACATTGCTGGTGGGAATGTAAGCTATTTCAACCATTGTGGAAAGCAATATGGAGGTTCCTCAAAAAATTAAACATAGAAATACCATTTGACCCAGGAATCTCACTTCTTGAAATATACACAAAGAAAACAACTTCTCAGATTCAAAGACATATGCACCATTATGTTCATTGCAGCACTTTTTACAATAGCCAAGATATGGAAGCAACCTAAGTGTCCATCAGTAGATGAATGGATAAAGAAGATGTGGTACATATATACAATGGAAAACTACTCAGCCTTAAGAAGAAAACAAATCCTACCATTTGCAACAACATGGATGGAACTAGAGGGTATTATGCTCAGTGAAATAAGCCAGGTGGAGAAAGACAAGTACCAAATAACTTCACTCATATCTGGAGTATAAGAACAAAGAAAAACTGAAGGAACAAAACAGCAGCAGAATCACAGAACCCACGAATTGACTAACAGTTACCAAAGGGAAAGGGACTGGAGAGGATGGGTGGGAAGGGAGGGATAAGGGTGGGAAAAAGAAAGGGGGCATTACAATTAGCAAGTATAATGTGGGAGGGGGTATGGGGCGGCCTCTACAACACAGAGTAGAGAAGTAGTGATTTTACAGCATCTTACTACACTGATGGACAGTGACTGTGAAGGGGTATGTTGGGGGGACTTGGTGAAGGGGGAGCCTAGTAAACAATATTCTTCATGTAATTGTAGATTAATGATACCAAAATTAAAAAAGAAGCAAAAAAAATCAATATATTGGTAATTATTGGCATATGAATTTCACCTTTCAAACACCTCATTAAAGAAAAACAAAAATCTAATCAAGAAGTAAATTGGGTTTTCTTCAGGTATTTATTTCCCACCTTGTGGAAACTTAACTTTAGCCAGAAAGT